CTCATACGCTTCCTTGCACCAACAGATGATGATTTAGAAGTTGCATCAATATTATATTTCAAAGAATATGCAATGAGTTTGTCCTTAGCCTTGCATATGTCCGAAAATGTTTGCTTTTTAACACCATACTCGTCACAAACTCTTGACACCGAAGTACAGAAAGGGTCACATACTTCCTCTTCGGCGTTTTACTCCCCCTTGAAGACATGATGTAAAATACAAGGCTGAAAGATGCCTAATCACTGAAACATCAACGAAACTTGCAGGGCAACAACACTGATACTCGAATATGGCGCTAGGTCAACAATGACTGGCGGTCTTACGCGAGTGACCCATCTATCGGACAATCCCAGAACCAGAAATTTGACACGGACAGTCCCTCGCTTAGTTCAGATTTCGTCCAATTTATCTAATACCCAGATTAAAGGGGTCCATTTTAACGAGGGTCAACTGTACTGTTTGCGTAGTAGACATTTAAGTTAGTCGTGTTCTGAGTCCTCTCTTCGTCGCATTTAGGTTTTAACTCCCTGCCTAGTTTAGTTTTGTCATCATTCCTAGCACTATTTCCCTGTAACCTTTCACTTTGTTTACCCGCTCCCACTGCAGTCTCTTCCACCCCCGTGCTCATATGTTCCCCTAGCAGTTTAAAGACTTCGACATCTTTTGAAATGCCCTCTCGAGAGAGCCAACCAGGGTTGCCACCCCATCCCTAGACAGATGCACCCTATCCTTAGCATAAAAGTCCCTTCTGCCGTAAAAGTTGTCCCAGTTGTCAACGAATGGGACTGATATTGACTGGCAATATCTGTCAAGACGGCCGTTGACACCAACTGCCCTTGACAACCATTCATTGCCAACTCTCTTTCTAGGCAGGACACCACATATGAAAGGGATCCTTCCCTTCAACCTAATCCATTCTATAGCTGTCTTGAACTTATCAAGAAGCTCCTCACTCTTTCACCAGCCAATATCATTGCCTCCTGCACTGAGGCAGATAAAGGGTTTGTTCCTATTACCAGAAAAGATACTGTATTGTCCTTCCTGTCAACTATATCCCCCACCCCAGCTCCTGGCAAACACACCCGCATCCTATTTTTGTTTTTACCACAAAAGCTGTCCAGGTACCATACCTAGGAATCGCCAACAATTAAGGTTTTCGTACCTTCCTTGTCAGCCTTGTCCCTGAATATGCTAACGTCCAATTCGTCTATCAATGGACTGAAAGAGTTGGTACATTTAGCTGTTGTTGTCGTATCCTTGGTGTCTTTTCTCACCACCAGTTTGGTCATCCTTCTGCTCACAACCTTCCATTCGCCTGAGTTTTCGTCAGACACAGGCTTTCCTTGTCTCGTGTCTTCTTCCTTCATCCTCACTATCAGTTCCTTTAATTTCAAGATTTCTTCCTTGGCCCTCTCTAACTCAGCCCTCAGGGAACAGCCCTGTTCACAAGTAGCACTAGCCATTACTGACAATTGATCCCCGGGAGCTAAGCCTGCCGTGACCTTTCCTCTAGTGAAGTCAGAACACAGTTTTATGGGGCAAAAGATACAGAGGAATACGACTGCCGACTACAGAGAAAAGTGTATGCTGTAGTAGACATTATTGTGGTATCTTTGGATCTAGAATGAGCATGAGATAGGCCTAGTCAATAAAAAAGTACTGAGAGAAGTTTTAAAAATACTGTACAGGTATACGAGATAAAAATGATACAGTAGTTGATTCCTATTCAGTCGTCTTTAAAATGAGGGGAAACATTTGTTAAGAGTATGTCATGAAGTGGGGAATTAGTTCCCAGTGAAAGGAGATCTACATCAAGGAAGCTCCTAAGTTGTATTACCATGGTTATCAAATATTTTCATGGATGGGGTAGTAAGGTGAAAACAAATATGCTCAAGTCAAAAGAAAGACTGAAAAATAGAAGCAAAAATATAGGGAAAAGGGAAGGTGAATCAACTGCTATTTGCAGATAATACTGTCTTGGTGGGTAATTCAGATGAAAAGTTAAAAATGTTGGTGTGAAGAATTTGGAAGAATATGTAATAAGAGTTGATCATGAATGTGAACAAATAAAATGTGATAATAATAAATAGAGAAGGTCTGGGAGATATGAATGTTAGTTTGAATGGAAGAGGTTAGGTTAAGATACTTAGGATAAGAAAGTAGGTAATTGGTGCATTACAAAATATGCTTCCCCTGCCAAATGAGAAAGCCCAACTATGGTAACTACTGTATATCAGATTCAGTAATTCACCCAACAGCAGGAAGCAGATTTATAGTATCAGTTACAATACCACAGTTTCAAGGCAATTTGCCAAAAATCCACAGGAAGGTGTTCATGAAGTAGATACAACTGAAAGTATGATACCTGGAAGAAAAGACAATCATTCCTCCACAACTAGAAGGAGTGATGCCAAGTAATAATAATTCATATTAGACTTGTGGACAAAGGGCAAAAAACAAAGGTTGTGAATGGCATGGTTTTATTGTTACAGTATATATGTAGTTTAACGCCATTGAAAATATAAGGGCTCTATGAACTTACCCTTTCAGAACCTATTTACAAACAAGTGTGGTTAATTTACAATTTGGTAGTACAGTAAAACCTCGATTAACCGACCACATATGGGGGGGAGGGGCCGACGGATAATACAAAGGGTCGGTTAATAGTAAACAAAGTCTACGGAAATAAAACATACATTTTCAAAGTACAGTGGTCTCTCGGTTAACGAGCACAATTCGTTCCAGAAGGTTGCTCGTTAACCGAAAAACTCGTTAACCGAAACCATTGTTTCAATGGGTTTTTGGGTAATTGGTTCCAGCTCACCGAAAATTGCCTAAAATCAACAAAAAAGGTAGTAAAGTACACTTACTTAGAGGTGTGTATGTAGAAGGCTCCTGGATGATGAAGATGATGATGGGAATTAGAATGGGGGTGGAGGAGAAGGGAGAAGAGAAGGCATTGGGGTGGAGAAGTCACCCCATGGTGCCATTTCACCCATAAAATTGTAGTTTCCTTGGTGTAATTCAAGATTATTTTCTTTAAATCAACACTGCACTGCATTATATAATGTCAATATGTAAAATAAATTTCAAATTGACTAATAATTTGCTTCGAAACACAGAAAAAAAAAGCATTTAGTTCAAGAGTCTCAAGCAAGATGTTACCTCCACTGAAAAGACAGAGACTGACGCCTGTATGGTGTGTTGACAAGCTCTTTGGCGCGCAAAAAACTAGCTTCCTATACTTCAATTATGTTCAATAATTTTTAAAATGACTAAAAAATTTAATATAAAACTTTTAAAATTATTGAATAGTACAAACTTCTTGATATTTACTAAAATAGTAAGGAATTTGAGCCCTAGAACCGATTACTGTATTGGCGGACTAATACTACAGCTGGTGGACCGCCAAATGCAAGTGAAAACATGTGGAGGGGCGCTCGTTAAAAACTCGTAAATCGAGAGATTGCTCGTTAACCGAAGTTAAGAATCATAGGGAAGGTAATTCGTTAACCGAAATCTCGTTAGCTGAGGTGCTTGTTAACCGAGGGATCACTGTACCTATCCCTAACCTACCTCATTTAAGTCCCTCTATTCATTTTTGTTCATTTGCTATTCATATTTCAATAGAAATTGCCTTAAAACATTAACCACTTTAGTAAATACAGTAATACCCCGATTTATGCGGTTCCCGTTTATGCGTTTCCACATTTACGCGGTACCCCGCCAGAACCGGAATTCCCACTTTACGCGGTGCATCTACTCATATACGCGGGAAGCGGCGCGAGCATGGTGCACACAAGGTCGCCCAGTCATCAAAACATTACCGAGTTCTTCACCCGCCACAGCCGGCCCAAGTCAGTGACAGTGAGGATATGGACTTATATGGACTTTGAGGGGTTTGACAAAGAGGCCCTGCAAGCCTCTATGGTGGATAGTGATACAATTGATACCAGTGATACAGGTGAGGGCCAATAATCTGCCCTCTGCCTTTGAACCAACCCCCAATCCCCATGTGCCCAGCCATTTCTTCTACTAATGTAAGTGTTAAAAAACCTAATATTATTGATATTTCTCTTAATTATTAATTGTGTGTGCATACCACCATAAAATTAAGATGTTATTTTTACTACAACGTAAGTATTGTGTCTGAAAATGTGGAGTTTGGGGGGTTGGCCCAGTCTCTATTTCAATTAATCCCATATGTTCTGTTGTTCCATTTACGCATTTCCCGTTTTACGTGGGCCTCCGCGGGTTCAATTGACCGCGTAAATCAGGGTATTACTGTAAATATGAACCAGCACACAAACCATGAATAAAAAATGGAAAAGTCAAAGAACATATGGCATCACGAAAATTGTGACCAAGTCCCAGGTTGCTGATCTGACTTTCTGCCTCATTTACACACAATTGCAAGGTCTCAATTGTTTCTCTTACAATTGACAACACAACATATATGCAGTACAGGTACATTGTTTCTCACTCTTGATTTTTTGTTTTCATTTTTACATTTCTTTATGGTTCTTTATTATTATTATTATTATCATTATTAATATTATTACATTATCGCCCCCCAGGCCCCGATGTGGGTCAGTGACCTGTGCCCGGGTGGGCTAATCCCCGTAAAAAAAAAAAAGGGGGGGGGGTGTCCGGGATTGACGGTTAATCCGAAAGTCGGTTAATCGAGGTTTTACTGTATTGTCGAAATACTTTTGTTGCATCATAATCTAAAAAATATTGAATGTGAGAATCTTAAAATATATTGATATGATCTATAAAACAGACCATCCATTTACTTTCTAAAGTACTCAAAACAGTCAGTCAAAAGTATTATCATGTTATGTATGAAGCTAAGTAATGTTTTTATACGATAATTTACACGAGAATCAGTATATTGCAATGTTGCCAGTAACATTAAATACAATATATGTAACAGGTTATGTACAAATGCTTAGAACACCTTAAATATCAAAGGAAAATTTTTAAGGAAGTTACTTTGATGACTGTTTTCATGACTTTATTAAAACAAGATAATCTCGTTAGCAACATTTTTCAACGCTCCTACACCTGGACAGATTATTTGATCAGCAAGTTACATACAAATTGTGTGCATGTACAACTGGACGGAAAGCTACCAGCAAGTTATATGCTTGTACAACTGGACGGAAAGCTACCAGCAAGTTACATGCTTGTACAACTGGACGGAAAGCTACCAGCAAGTTACATGCTTGTACAACTGGACGGAAAGCTACCAGCAAGTTACATGCTTGTACAATTGGACGGAAAGTTACATGCTTGTACAACTGGACGGAAAGTTACCAGCAAGTTACATGCTTGTACAACTGGACAGAAAGTTACCTACAAGTTACATGCTTGTATAACTAGATGGAAAGTCACCAGCAAGTTACAGGCATGTACAACTGGATGGAAAGTTACCAACAAGTTATATATTTATACAACTGGACAGAAAGTTACCAGCAAGTTATAGGCTTCCACAAGTGGATAAACTGATAACACACCTTGCCTGATAAAACTAAACTTATAAGAGGTACAGTATTAATCCACAACACTGATGAGGCAAATAAATTGTAGCATTATTCATATTAAAACTCCAATAATCAAATGAATGGGAAACCAGCAGGAACTTACCCTGTGTCTGGTGTGACCATTAACACTGTTATCCCCAAACCACAGATTACTAATAAAACATCTGCACAAGATCCCATGTGCCACAGGCATACAATAAATGTGTTTTGGCACATTTCAATACATTTGAATCATACAATATCATAATACTGTACTAAAATCCCTTTAGTGTTGCTGACAATGATTTTTGAATATATAAAACATATGAGATTACGAGATCTACAACAGATCTATACAAAGTTACTTGTAATGATTGTTTATCAGACCACAGCTTACAGCCCAGAGAAATACAACACATATAATAGTAAGTAGATGCCCACGTAGTAATCCACATAGGTTGACACACCCCACAGTGACAGTAAGACCTGACCCAGGAGAGGTCACGGACAAGGTACCTGAGCTAACCAGATGTTATGACCGTGTTAAAGAAACCACACTGAGCCAAAACACACCCGGGTGGTAATAATTAGGAAGCATTACCAACCTGTGACATGACTACACACCTGGGCAAATACAGCTGTCCAGATCTAATCAGTTTAGTGTAAATTAGGAGAGGTCCTACAGTGTTTCAATGAAAACTATACATCACCTAAAAGTGCTCCTGTGGTCACATTAAGGTTTATAAGCCATGGACACAGTAGCACAATTCCATATCCAAAAAAAAAATATATATATATATATTACTCTTTCTTCCTGAACAGTAGGTATAACCTCATCTTTTAGTCCAAGAGGCCACAGCCCTGGCCTTTCATGATAGTAAATAATGATTACCAGTACCAAATTTTATACAAGACATTTTTGTGAGATATACTTGTCCAGTTTGCTTCAATCAACTGCTATTTGTTCAAGTTATCAAGCTCAGCATGTTGGATGCATGCATACAGAGATGTGCTGACCCAGTTTATAAGGAGCAAAAATTTCTAGCAATACTGATCTAAAATATTGATTACCAAACACGTCAGATCTTACGATATATTTAACAAACTAAGTTTAAAATCCATTACATGCAAAAGGATATACACATGGACATCTGCCATTTCTATATCCACCACTTCAGGAGCATCTGGGATTATTAAAAGTTTTCAGAGTGCAGAGCTATCAATGTCGGGGTTTATGTGCTCCTCTGCAAAATAAGTCATTTGTAAACACTTGGCAGAAGTTTTACTCCCTAAAAAATATTAAGCTATTCCCATAAGCTGCCTTCCATCCACTTACCCTACTCTGGTACAGTATACACAAATAGGGACAGACATACGTAATAAAAAATTAAATGAACAGTAAATTATGCAGAAAAATTACTATAAAAATAAATTTCTTACCTCATGTCAGTTTATGGTACACTGCCTACAGTATCCATGTAATAATCAGATATATTAAATAATTCAGCACTCAATTACCAAGACAAAGGCACTTCTAGGACGTCCATGAAGGAATAGTCATGTACTACCTTTATCAATACCTAAGTACCTCTCTGACTATGAATTTGTGCATCAAAATTTTCTGTAAACTTCACATACCATATTTTTTGCCTAAAATATCCTGGTACAGTGTAATAGCATTAGAGTTAACATAAAATTCATGAATGAACTGTTTACCTTACAATTTAAAAACTACCAAAAGAAAAGTATATTTGCTGAGCAGTAAATACAAAATACTATAGTTCACAAATTTATCACAGATACAAATTAACTGCTTTTACTTCTGATAAATGTTTAAGATGACAAAAGACATTACTGGCGACGAAGAACGAGAGTGAAGAAAGCAAGCGCCAGGATTATGAGGAAGCTACTCTGAAGCCCTGCTGCCCCTGCAACTCGGCATTTGAGGAAGTCGTACCTGGAGAAGACAAGGCACATGTTAGGTTATACACAACAAAATGTCTATACCGTATATTGCGGCCTACCTGTATAAGTCGAACTGGCGTATAAGACGACCTTAATTATTTCGAGTGAAATTGTTGAGCTAGGCTACCTGGCAGATAAATCGACCCCCTAAACTGTAATTTGAAAGTTACATCCTCGGTATCAACTAAACTTGCCAACATTTACTTTTTAACAGCACTCATAAACAAGTATTACCTAATTGTAGCATTTCCAAAATGTTACATACCTTTCGGTGTTAACCACAGTATTCTTACAAACAAACGTTACTAGGGCACACAAATGTGGTGTAAACAAATCACAACAATACAGTTCCTACAATCGTAAAATTATTTAAGATACACTATACACTAGGTGAGTAGTCATGACAATTTACTAGTACTGTACTGATAGTTTATTATTAAATATATTGGCAAGTAAAAAAGTTTCAAACTTAATAATTATGGTACATGATAAGCAAAGGCATGTTGTATATTATATTTACACCATACTCGTATTGTAGTACAGTATTTTCTTGATCTAACTAATTTGAGCCACCCCTTTCCGTTAAATCGAGCATGATTCCATTAAATTCTGCTCCAAATACACTGCTTGACCCGTGGGGTTTGTTTATATCCGCTCAATCTGTGTCCTGCCCCCTACACGTGTGTTGTTCACTGCTACCTCTTGGTTTACATCTCGGTCTACTAACTACTGTGCTTAGACATCATGTCAAAAGTCCCTCAGAAGTCTCAGAAAGAAGTTGTGTGGGGGAGAAAGTCAAAAAGAGTGCAGTTATCAATTGGAAAAAAGTTTAAGGTAAGCCATGAATAATGTTTCAAATGTTTCTCTGTTCATATCATGTGTCTGAGGTGTCTCCATAGGTGTGAGTATACGTATTAATGAAATTAATCTCAATTTTGCGAACTAGTTCACTAAATCATGTGAAAAATTACAGAAAAAATTCCTTCCGCTAAATCGAGAGTTCGTTATCTCAGATTCCGTTAAATCGAGAGTACCTGTATACTGTACACTGTACTAGCAGTATACAGCAACAAGCACACAAACTCTTGGTACACGATTAAAAAGGGTTATATCATTTTACCTAAAACAACACAATATAAATGATGCTTAAACGTTAAGTAAATATTGGATTGCTAATTTAAAACATTCAATAATCAGTACTTTATATTATTAATGGTAGCACACTGTTGGCAGTATGCAGCAACAAGTGAACAAAGTTTACAGTATCTGGTACTGGTATAAGTGTTGGCAACACTGACCGAGATGCCGCAGGCCACACCCATCTGTTCCTTGGCACCTGCCTTGTTTACAACTTTACAGAACATTCGTGTAAACGTTTTCAAAATCCAGGTGCATTGTATGAATATACCGTAACTGCATTAAAAAAAAAATTAACAACAAATATTACAATTAACTGCCTTCGTAACATTTGTTTGGAAGAAACAGAAGTTAACACGGAAAGATATTTTAATGTTCTGAAAGGTGTAGGTATGACTAGTGTAAACACTGATCTTAGGCCGAGTTCAATAATAATTACTTTTCTGGAAAAATGCTATAGATAAGTAAAACTTGTTTGTAAGTGCTGGAAATTAAGTGAATGAGGCCTACCAGTAATGTAAAGTGAAAATCTGATGCTAGTGGTGGAGCGTACTTAGAGGATGACATTTTATATCTGTTGTACTAGACAACCCTTAGCTTTGAACATCAAAATTGGAGCCTCAAAGGTTGACTTATAGGTCACAATATATGGTATGTAATAGCACATAGAAATTGAATTTTTTGGAAAATCTACAAAAGGAAAAACGCAGAGAAAAGAAGTAATTATGAGGAATGAAAGTTCAAAACTCATATGTCTATACATATAGGATAGGAATGTATAAAGTATTGTACAGTACATACTTAGGAATTTGTAAATATCACATAGGGTGACATTCTTTTTCTATGCATACAAACAGGTTTTTAATGTGTATAAAAACATTTCCCACAACTAAATAGGCGATTGCTACCTTATTATTGAAAACGAAAATTACTTATCAATCATGTCTGGTGCTAAGGTTGGAACTGTCTCATGCTAGAATAATGTTCAAAAAAATTATTCTTACCTGGTTTTTTTGTTTCGGATAATATTGAGATACTCCGCCTCAACCAGCTGACCATCAAAATAAGTAATAGGATCTTCAAAGGGATATTCATAGCCTTGAATACATTCACATTTATAACCACCGGTGTCAAATCCACGACCCTGGATGGGCACACACTGTTGAAAAACAATGTGATTAAGTAAAATAATATTAAGTTGTAGAGGTGTAACACTCCATCAAAAATACACCTAACTCTTACTTTGCTGTTGTAATAAACCTTACAGCTTCAAGTAACTAATTTTAATTTATGAGATGGAAGCAAGTAAAGGTACAGTGTGTTCAAGGGGCACATGTGTGTGTGGTGTTGTTAATGGAGGAACTGGCTAAGCTTCTCCTCAACAACCTTGGTAATGATTTGGAAAGCCACTTCTTATAAAGGACAAATACTATAGTACAAACATTTTATTCAGTCCTCCAGGGTTCTGTACAACCTTCCATTTTACCAAGTCCAAACTATAATAGTAATGTAAATTATGTCAACTGACAATAAATTGAATATAACCTTAGTTTATTCTTTGTTACTCTTGTACCCATCAAATTTGTGCTTTAACTACTTCAAACATTATTGTGTAAGGGCTGTCAAATAGTAATACTGTAACTAATAAGCAATATGAAAAAATTTGACAAGATTGTATGAAAAATGATTTATGGAAATAATTTATATTAATGTACAAAGCTGTAAACTAAGATATCCATTCATAGTTAGGTGGACTGAGGGTGTTTTAAACACAATCTATAAACCCTTAGTACAAGAGAAAACTGCTGCAGCTTCATGACAAAAGAAATATGAACTTATTATTCAAATAGAACAAATATTTATTTAATATTGTTGATGTTATACTAACATAGGATGTCTTCCGGTCACATCGATGGGTGTTCTTGAAAGCATTCTGCACATAGTACTCATTAGGGCACTGAACGATGTCTAATTTGAGAAGATCCATGGTCACCCTAACTGCACCCCTGAAAATAAATATCAAAATGAATGACAAGACACTGGATTTTTTATTACCGGGTAATAAATCTGATCCACTCTTGATATCAAGGACATACAGTTATACTTAACAGGTGAGTTTGTTGAAAGCAATGAGAGAGAAACATGATTTGTTGCCGAGGGTCTTAAAAATGCCTTTCGACATTGAGGACTTGCAGAGAGAAGAAAAAATAAATACAAAAGTCAGCCAGGCTAACATTTCATGAGAGGAAAAGGGGGAAACTTACTTGAACTCCAACTTAGACTTCAGTGGATCCCAACCAAAGAATGGAGCTGTGTAATGTACAACCCACTTTTTTACAAAACCATTGCAGTCAAATTCAGGAACACTCCATTGGCCATGGTGCAGCTCAGCAGCCCTGTGGAAACACCCATGTGCATTAAGATATACAGTATCATAGTCTGCTAGGGTTACATTACCAGATATAAGACTACTGTATCATGAGACACATTGCAATGTTGAAATATTGATGCCTGCATGATGTAAGTTTGGGTGGGTGGTTCATGTGTGACATATCTGTAGATACAAACAAGCTTTGTGTCATTGAGTATTGTGTGAGTGGGCAGGTTTAACCTGTGCAGATAGATATTTTGTACAGATATTATTGAAATTTTGTGCAAGGTAATTTAAATGTCAATGTCATGTGTGTTCAGGTGTGACCAATGTGCAGCCCAGGGTGATGTATATACCAGTCAAAATTTATGCTCGATTGAACAATGTGTGGTTTAATTGAGTGTTATGAGCAAGGTCCATTGTTTTGTGCATATGTGACCATCTTTTGTGGCTTTAAGCAATGAGTGCAGAATGCATGGAATGCATTACTGTGCGTGTAAGAGTGAATTTTACTTGAACATATAGTGTATCTTTCATTTGTGTGTAAGTATGTGTAATATGTGCAAATGCCGCATGAAAAAGTTAGTAAATATGGACATCTGTGAACAAATATGCATTATATATGAGGCTATCAGTAACACAGTTGGCCGAGCCCCCAAGCCTCTATTTCATGGAGAGAATCTCGGGTGTGGGAGTGTAAACGGCAATAGGGTCAAAAAATTTATTCTTTGGAAGGGTGCATCAGTTTAAAGTCGACAGGAGAGAATAATTTCTGTTTCAGTAACACACCCGGCCATGTCTCACGTGTGGAGCAGGCCAGTGATGCTCCACGCTCCATACCGAATGGCAGCTCAGCCGCCATTCACAACACACCACATATCCTATCAGCACTTGGCACGCTTAGTACCTTGTTAACACGTCTCTGCTGGCACCCCCCCCCAAAAATCGTTCCATGCTGCTGATCCGTCGCAACATAAAAGTACATTCATATAACTACTTGAACAGAAAAAATCACTGCAATATCTTTAATGGTGGGAAAGTTATATCACTCATTTGAGGGCTATGTAATGTAGCTTGGTTTATTCAAGCAGAGAAAAATGCAGTTAAGTTTTTTCTTCCAAAATGCCATTGATTTTCACTCCTGAAACTATCATAGCACGAAAGAAGATGCTTTAAGCTACATATATTATAATTAAAAAAAAACACTAACATATCTTTACTGGTTCAAAAGATGTGGCATTTTAAAAGTTTAAAGACTTTAACTGTGTTTTCTCCGGTTTTTTTTATTTTGGCGCTCGGCTGACTGTGTTACTGATAGCTTCATATACTATACGGGTACAGTATTCCTTGTTATGTGAATGGGTTAGGTTCCTTGAAAACCATTGGTTAAGAAATTATTCATATATCAAATGAGGCACTCAGCGTCAGAAGGGGGTGAAGTGACACCCCAGCCAAAATTTGTTTATTGATGGATATCATTACATTCACCTTTCCTCTACATGTTGCGTTGGATGTAACCCTCTAGCTATAATAGAAATATGGTTGAAAGTCCTTCAAAAATAAGGTGTGATTTTGCTTCAGGCCTGGAGTTACATATCTGACTGCGCGCTTAGTTCCAGAAAGTGGCAACATCCCATTCAGAGTGAGAGGAGCGCAAGCCAAAGACAGCGTGCCTCCCATGGACCATACCCCCGAGGCAGCCAATCACAATGGATTTCCCCTTGCTACGTCACAGCTCCTCGGCCAATCCGCGCGCCTCCCTCGGACCATAACCCCCCCCAAGGCAGCCAATCACAATGGATTTCCTCTTGCTACGTCACAGCTCTTCGGCCAATCTGCGCGCCCAGATACTGCCTCCTCCTTAGTTTTGGCGCATATTTTAGCATCAGGAGGTTAAGTGTACGTTCAACTTCTATTTTTTATAACTTTTCAGCGTAACATTGACGCTATTCGCGTTCCACAGGTATGAGAAGTGCTGTGCAATATCTGCCCGATATTAGAGCAAGAACTCAAGTGAGCCAGGCCTTCTGGTGTGGGTTCAGGAGCCCATTATTCCTGAGCGTGTGTTTGTCGCCAGTGCACACATGGACACCCCAGAAATGCTTGGTGATAGTGATTTTTTCGGTGAATTTAGTGTTGATTATGGATACAAGTGCTACTGGCGATGGTGCAGGTGACGTGCATGATTGCAGACAAAACCATACATCAAGTTATGAACCATCGAAAGATCTTTTTAGAGACTATGATGACTTACCTGTCGACAATGAAGTGACTGACAGCATGATGAAAGTGATTGTCATAATGACAAAAACACTTTGAACGCACAGAATAACTTTTTAGCGTGCTACAACGCATCCGAAGATCTCTTTGCCGACTAAGACGAGTTAAAAGACAATGTGGCATGCATTGACGATGAAACTGAGTTTACTCATAATACATAAAATTACTGCCATGCATCACAAGACCTTTTTGCAGACTGTGATCCGGTACAGAGTTACGTGACATACACTGACGGCAATAATGATGATAAAAGTGAAGATGAAAATGATGAAAGCGAGTCTAATGGTAACACAAACAGTAACACTAATGTATCACAACAAGAACATAAAGACTGTGAGGAGGTAGAAGTGGACAGTGATGAGACATGAAAGTGAGCCTGACCCAACGAATGCTAGTGAAAGTGAGCCCATACCTCAGTCTTATAATGAAACTGAACTGTTGCCGGCATCAATAATCAATGATTTAGTTGATGAAGAATCTGTGAGGCGATTTTAAGAGAGGGCAGAGAAAGACTTTGATCAGTACGTGATTGATTATGACGAGGCCATTATAATAAGAGCCCACAATAATAAGAAAATTTTGCAGAAAATGTGATTACTGTTGGTGTGAAGCTCAAACAACTGTACATCATGGGTAGTTATTCTCATTCAACTTGTGATAAAATAATAACTATTCACAGTACTAACTTCCAGTTTTCACAGTTCACTAGGAGAGGGATTGAGCTGCACAATAATAAAAAAATGAACCCTCTAGCTTAAAAAACAAAAAAATATGGTTGTTTGAACTTCGAAAAACCTTAAACATGTTTTTCTCAGCTTTTGGAATTTGGCGCTTCACCCACTTCTGACGCCTCAAATAACGTATGAGAAAAATATGGTTTGGTTCCTCATTGACAAGAAAATCACAATAAAAACAATAATAATAAAAAAGGTTCACAAAAAACAAAATAACCTTCAGTACCAAACTACTGTAATTAGTAGTAGAACCTCGATAAATTGGACTAATTGGGGCAGACCCCAGTCCGAAATGAATATATGTGGGGAGGGGGGTGGTGGGGAGGGGGGGGGAATATAACACTGCTTATCTGAACAGTTTAAAGAAAAATCAGTTAATGTTATGTTATTACTGCACTTCAACAACGAAAGTCTTAAAGTGTATAACAAGGTTATTAAAAGAATATTACATCAACAATAATAAAAATATATACAGTGGTACCCCGATTTACGCGGTCAATTGAACCCACAGGGTACCGCGTAAAGTGAAAACCGTGTAAAGTGAACAACAGAACATATGGGATTAATTCCAATAGAGACTGGCCCGACCCCCAAACTCCACTTTTTGACGACACACAACTATGTTGTAGTAAAAATATTATCTTAACTTTATGATGGTATGCACACACAATTAATAATTAAGAGAAATATCAATAATAATAGTTTTTTTAACACTTACATTAGTAGAAAAGATGGCTGGGCACACAGGGATGGGGGGTTGGTTCCGAGGCAGAGGGCAGATTATTGGCCCTCACCTGAATCACTTGTATCAATTGTATCACTATCCACCACATAGGCTTGCAGGGCCTCTTTGTCAAACCCCTCAAAGTCCATTTAAGTCCATATCCTCACTATCACTGACTTAGGCCGGCTGTGGTGGGTGGCGGGTGAAGAACTCGGTAATGTTTTGATGACTGGGCGACCTTGTGCGCATCCTGCCAGCGCCGCTTCCCGCGTATATGAGTAGATGCACCGCGGAAAGTGAAAGTTCGGTTCTGGCGAGGCACAGCGTAAATGAGAAATCGCGGAAAGTGAAACCGCGTAAAGCGGGGTAATACTGTATATAAAATATATACAGTTTATATGAAACAGAACTCTCTGGATTGAAATTCAGACATACAGGTATAAATCTGATTGCCAACAACTGTTGTCACCGAGATGAATGTGATTTACTGTAAAGTGTTATATGTAAGTAACCACAGAATTTGTCTTATGAATAAAGAGAAAACTGTATACTGTACTGTATAGTACTACAAAGATAAAAATAAGAAAAATAAGTGTAGGAGTAAATTCTATGTGGAAGATTCGTGTTTATCTGGGAGCAGCTGGCAGAGGGAGAGGGGGTGGCACAGGTGGGTTGCTCTCTCCCCCATGATTCCTTTAACACTTCTTTATGTAATTTCACCACAATTCTCATATAATTTAAGGTCATTTGGTTCCAGGTTGATAAAATATTATGCTAAAAGAATCAGCTTTCTTGAAAAAAGAATCCCACACTCAACACCATGAGTCATTTGTTTACAAAGGGCAAACAGTTGATGGCTTATATTCAACACTTAGTAAATTAGTACAGTACAGTCGTGTATTTATCATCACTTAATAAATACTATTGCAGTGCAATTATCACCACTTAATAAATACTATTGTAGTGTATTCATAATCACTTAATAAATAATATTGTATATTGTACAGTAAGCCTCCGATAACAACGGTTCGACCAACAACTTTTCATATTTAAGACCCTAGATAATATAGGACCCAATTCAATTTACGTCCTTATTTCATTCATATTTACGACCAAAATATGATAAAAATATAATAAAATTAAACAATAATGAATCTTTTGTACATATTCTTAAAAGGATATATGACGCTGTATCCTTAAATGAGCACGTATATGTTTGTGTTCCCAATCCATCTCTTTTTTCTTTTTTTGCCATTAGTGGTTAGCTATTTCTATTGTTCCATTTATTAACATTAAATAACATTATTTAAAACATATATATATTTATTTTTTTACATTAATTTTCCTACAGCTACAACCAGGGTCTTATTTTCTTCATTTTCTCGTGTAGAACTATCGTCCCGGACTCCCAGCTGTAAACACAAACGAAAACAATGGCTTCCCATCTCCTCTTGTGTGACCATATTATTATTCATTTATATTCTATAAGGTGCATCCAGAAACATTATTTAAAGAAATAACTTGCAATTTTCATTTATTGTATTGTTTTTGGGGGAAAACGAGGGTAAAAAGCCACACAAAAGATACGAAAAGGTCACTCTTGAGAACACATCTCATTATTATTGCTTTATTTTAATGGTAAATAATGATTCACGATACGACAATTCACCTTACACTGCAATATTGGAGGACACATTAACGTCGTTATTCGAAGCTTTACTGTACAGTACAGTGATTCCTCGGTTAACGAATGGTTCAGTTAACGAATTACCTTCCATAAAAATCTTCAATTCGGTTAACGAAAAAAAATTTGATTAACGAAATCCTTACGAAAATCACGTTTTGTTGTGAGCATCAGCTGATCAGCTGTTGGGCTAGTCTGCCAATTCAGTAATCTGTTCTATGTTTACATTTGTTTCCAATGGAGTAAATATCAATAAAGTTGTGCTCTATAATATTTTTGCATGTTTTATATTAAAATTATTCGTCATTTTAACATTTAACATATTGATAATATATGCAGTACAGGGAACTAGTTTGTTGAGAGCCCATCAGATGCGTGAATCGGTCACAAGACGTCAGTTGGGCTTTGAAAACAATGGAGAGAGCATCTATTTTGTTGGTGTCTTGAATATTTTTGCATTTTTCATTGAAATCATTGGTCATTCTGAACTTTAGTTAACATATTGATAATAAATAGCGCAGTGCAGTGTTGATTTAAAGAAAATAATCTTGAATTACACCTAGTGAACTTAAAATTTTATTGGTGAAATTACTGCATCAAGTATGGGTCCCCTGAAAGGTGATTTCTACTCCATCTCCACTTCCTTCTCTTCTCCCTTCTCCTCCACCCCCACTTCTAATTCCCATCATCATTATCAACCAGGAGCCTTCTACATACACACCTCAAAGTAAGTGTACTTTACTGCATTTTTTTTTTACTTTGCATGTACTTTTCGGTGAGCTGGAACCAATTACCCAATATCCCATTGAAACAATGGATTCGGTTAATGAACAACCTTCTGGAATGAATTGTGTTCGTTAACGGAGGGACCACTGTATTATGTATCTGCATATACCTTCGTTTATTCATTAATCATTTGTCTAAGTGTACAAATTGCCAAAGGTAATAAATAATGATGTTAGGAAGGTATCTTCATATCAAATAATATAAAGTGTCTTATAGTGACCCCTGTTGTAAGCCGGTCTGCTGGAAGCTGTCACACAAATGCATCTTGAGTAAATAACTTTCTGGTACAGCTTATCCTTTTATTTTCAAGTCATATTACAAATTACTGTACATACTGTATTGTATTTGTTTCCCTATTACTAAAGATGTTATATTTATCATGATAAACCATAAACCATAAAAGGCCTTTCATATGAGATTATAATACTGAATCAATAAATAAATAAACCTGACGAATGTGGCAACACCAGATCAGTCCAAACCTGCTTGCATACTGAAATGTTTTAGTTCTCAGTAGGCCTATAGCAAATCTGATTAGACCACTGTACAATATTCAGTAAGTGTTATTCATTTCATAAGATTCTTTTATTAATCTTCCCCATTTCTTAAAACATATCCAGGTTTTACTAGTTTCAAACACAAAAAAAAAATTATTAAATATAAATTTGGTACAGTACCTTAAGGGACTATTAATCGTTTAAAGGAGAATTGGTTTCACACAGTGAGAAAGAGGTGTAAGAATACTGTATAATACGTTAATTGTATAAGTGAATATTCAAAGAGCGAACGTTCATTTAGTGAGGGATACGTGTATAGTATATGCATATAAAAATTAACAAATATAAACCCTTGTTTTACACTCACTCCAAAATGTATCTTTAAGATTTTGTACTAGTCAATACTGTATGACACAACGAACAAAGATTTCGGACAACCCTACTCCTTAAAGATACCTTTTGGAGCAAGTGTACATGTGGAAGTTCTGGCAATTTGGTACACTGATCAATAAGATATATTAATTAAAACCTCTATAATAATGATTTTCAGTGAAATACCCCAATATACATGTTGTTATTTCAAATATATTTAAGACAAATGACTAAGACAATAAATCCCACAAAGGTAATCTCATGACTCAAAGGGAGGATATTAATACCTTATTGTTAATATGATAAATGTAACTGTCTCAATATCAAGTTCTAGCTGAAATACATCAACCAACAAGAGCAACCAGAGGATAAATGAGGAAAAGCTTCATCTCCAAGTCAATAATGTGAGTAAGACTTACTTGTAGAAGGTAGGGTAGCGCTCATACTTCATGCCATGCATCCCTGTAGAATTGTGTCGTAGTTTTAGTTTCATCCAATACTTCTCAAGGTCATCAAAATTGGTGGACCAACGACTTTTAAGTTTCCTGTTAAAATTTAAGAACTTCTTGTCATGCTCCATATATTTCTATTGTAACATAATCTGCAATACAGTATACAACTACAGTATGCACAAAGCACATGATGGCAACAATTCTTTAGTTCTATAACATAAAAGAGTCCTACACTACATTTCAAGCACTACTACAGCTTCTGTAAGAGTAAAATGCATTAAAATTTTTGCTGGTGACTTCTACTTTATACTAGGTCGGTTCTTAATCAGCCTTGAAATGTCTTTGTTTCCACCAAAGGTTATGAAATGGAAATGAATGACAATCCCCCAAAAGTGAACAAGTAACAATGTTATACCTAAACCAGGGCTTGTTGACGTATACATCTCGTGTCGAGTTTAATCTAGCAAGATCTTCCATTGAATATTTGCGAGTATTTAGTGTTGTCTTGTATGCCACAGGGGCAAACAATGTTTGATTGGTAAACTTGCCGCGATCCCAAAACATTCCTGAAGCCCATATCTGAAAAGATAAAAACAAAATAAAGAAATTGTTCAACTAACTGAGACCTGGCCATAATACTGGTCTTATGTCTATACCAGAGGCCTCTATTTGATGAGCTATCTTCCCCCCTTAAGTAAGTAAGTAAGTGAGAAGAGGATTATGTGGCTGTAAGTCATGACATTCTAAAGGTATGCATAGCACAGTAACCCACCAGCCAGGGACCTGCCACAATGAAAACATCTCCATTAATGACAAACATATAGTTTATACTGTACAGTATTACCCCGCCTAACGCGGTTTCACTTAACGCGTTTTATCATATACGCGGTGCCTCGCCAGAGCTGAACTTTCACTTAACACGGATTTTTTCCACATATACGCGTGAGTGTCCGGCTCGAGATGCTATTTTTAGATTTGCCCCACCCTGCCTGACTGCCTGTTTTAGCTCATAAAATTCATACAAATTACCCGGCCAGAATATAATTTACATCGCTGGAATTCTTATAATTTGGTGATCATTTTGAATATAAACATCATATTTTTGCATTAGACATACAAATTTTAGATAAAAAATTTTCTCAAATTAACTATGTTATCTTTTGTGCAAAATATATGACATTTATATTCAAAATATTCCTGGTCTTACAAGGAATCCAGCAATGTCAATTATATTATCCTAACTTTAGTTTGAGGTATTATTTATTAAAATTTAGTGGTTATCCCACACATCTCCTTGGGACGGTTGGTGGGGGGTGGGGGGGAGGGAGGGACCGACCGACCATCTGTTACCCTGTGAAGAATTTTTTTTTTTTTTATTAACTGAAGATATTTGTTTTAGCTCATAAAATTCATACAAATTATCCGGTCTGAATATAATTTACATTGCTGGAATTCTTATAATTTGATGATCATTTTGAATATAAACATCATATTTTTGCATTAGACATACAAATTTTAGATAAAAATTTTTCTCAAATTAACTATGTTATCTTTTGTGCAAAATATATGACATTTATATTCAAAATATTCCTGGTCTTACAAGGAATCCAGCAATGTCAATTATATTATCCTAACTTTAATCTGAGGTATTATTTAATACTAAATGTTAAAAACCCTGGAAGGGAGGATTGGTGGGGGGTGGGGGGGAGGGTTGGGACTGACCGCGCGGTTGGAAGAGGGGGGGAGGCAAGGTTGAGTCCATTATTTGAATGGACATTAACTTGGCGACTGTATTTCTCTATTTCTCTTAAGTATTAATTGTGTGCATGTACCATCATAAAATTAAGATGTTATTTTTACTACAACATAGGTATGTGCCTTCAAAAAGTGGAGTTTGGGGGTCGGGCCGGTTTCTATTGGAATTAATCCCATATGTTCTGTTGTTCACTTAACGCGGATTTCACTTAACGCGGGACCCTCTGGGTTCAATTGACCGCGTTAAGTGGGGTACAACTGTATATATAAAACGGGGGGGGGAGAAGATATTCCAATCATCATTTGATGTAAAAATAAAGTTGATTTTATATATCACAAATCACAGTACAGTGACCCCTCGTTTAACGAACGCCTCGGTTAACGAAATTTCGGTTAACGAACTGCCTTCCATAAGGATCTTCAATTCGGTTAACGAACAAAAATTCGGTTAACGAATTTCTTACGAACCGACCTCAACATGTTTTCGCTTGCACTGGCCGGGCAACCAGCTTTAGTATCAGTCCACCAATACATTAATCGGTTCTAGGGCTTAAATTCCTAACTATTTTAGTAAATATCAAGAAGTTTATACTATTCAATAATTTTAAAAGTTTAATATTCAATTTTTTAGTCATTCTAACAATTACTGAACATAACTGAAGGTAAAGTGACTAGTTTAAAGCGCAGCATCCAGCCTCTTAACACAGCAAACAGGCGTTAGTCTCTCTGTTTTCACTGGAGGTAACATCTTGCTTGAGACTCTCTTCAACTAAACGCTTTTTTTCTCTGTTTCCAAGCAAATTATTGGTCATTTTGAAATATATTTTACATATTGACAATATATAATGCAGTACAGTGTTGATTTAAAGAAAATAATCTTGAAATACACCAGGAGAACTAAAATTTTATGGGTGAAATGGTGCCATGGGGTGACTTCTCTTCCACCCCAATGCCTTCTCTTCTTCCTTCTCCTCCACCCCCATTGTAATTCCCATCATCATCATCATCATCATCATCATCATCATCATCCAGGAGCCTTCTACATACACACCTCAAAGTAAGTGAACTTTTCTACCATTTTTGTTGAATTTAGGAAATTTTCGGTGAGCTGGAACCAATTACCCAAAAACACATTGAAACAATGGTTTCGGTTAACGAACTTTTCGGTTAACGAACGACCTTCTGGAACGGATTGAGTTCGTTAACCGAGGGGTCACTGTAGTTCTTTGTAATATACTGGGTCATTACAAAGGCTCAATTACAGCTCCTCCCCGACTTACGACCTACTCGACTTACGACCACTCGCACTTACGACTTGCCTCAGTTGTACCAAAATTTTGTCAAATTACGTATTTTCGAGTCCCAGCATCAGTGATTGTGCTGTGTACTGACAAAATTTTCGTTTGTAATTCACTTTAAAATGGCTGGAATGCTTAAAAGTGAGAGTTTTGTGGCACTGAGTAGAAAAAGAGACACCCATTTTAGATTTTCTATGTACAGTCATCCCTCGGTTAACGAGATTTCGGTTAACGAGTTACCTCCCATAAGATTCTTAACTTCGGTTAACGAGCAATCCCTCGATAAATGAGTTTCTTACGAGCCGACCTCCACATGTTTTCACTTGCATTTGGCGGTCCACCAGCAGTAGTATTAGTCCGCCAATACAGTAATCGGTTCTAGGGCTTAAATTCCTTACTATTTTAGTAAATATCAAGAAGTTTATACTATTCAATAATTTTAAAAGTTTAATATTAAATTTTTTAGTCATTTTAACAATTATTGAACATAATTGAAGGTAATGAAACTAGTTTTATGAGCGCCATCCAGCCTCTCAACACAACAAACAAGCGTTAGTCTCTCTGTCTTTTCAGTGGAGGTAACATCTTGAGTGAGACTCTCTTCAAGTAAATTTTTTTTTCTGTGTTTCCAATAAAACTACCTGTATTGGTCCTTTTGAAATATATTTTACATATTGACAGTATATAACGCAGTGCAATGTTATTTTAAAGAAAATATTCTTTATTTACAGCAAGTTTAAACTTAAAATATCACGTGTTGAGATTGTTTGAATCCAGCATGGGGCCTAAGAGATCAAGAAGAGCGATTTCAATGCAAACCAAGCAGGAAATTATAAAAAAAAAAACATGAAGAAGGCATTAGAACAAATGCGCTATGCAAAGAATCTGGAATGTCGACATCAAAAGTTTCGACAATTCTTGCACAGAAAGAAAAATTTGAAGAAGTGAAAGTGAGACAAATCTACCAGAGTGTTTAAAAGTAGATCCCTAATTGCAGAAACTGAGAGGTTACTTCTCATCCGGATCATGGAAAAACAGATGAAAGATGATTCACTTTCTCATGAATTTATTTGTGAAAGAGCCCGGGAGAAATACGAACATTTAAAGACAGATCAACCTGGTAATTCAGGCACAGAATTTGAAGATCTTTGGGCCAGCAAAGGCTGGTTCGAAAAATTTAAGAAAAGAAATGACATTTTCAGTGTTGTTAGGCATGGTGAAGCTGCTAGTGCTGATAAGGAAGGGCAGCAAAGTTTTTAGTGGAATTTAAAGAACTGATGGAAGGAGGAAATTATCTTCCACAGCAAGTGTTCAATGTGGACGAAACTGGGCTGTTCTGGAAAAAAGATGCCCAAAAGAACATTCATCACCAGAGATGAGCCTCTTTACCTGGGCATAAACCCATGAAAGACCGTCTCACTCTATGGCTTGGTGCCAATGCTTCAGGGGATTTCCGACTGAAGCCTATGCTTGTCTACCACTCTGAAAACCCCAGGGTGTTCAAGCAACAGAAAGTGGTAAGAACAAACTTGGAGTTTATTGCAAGTCCAACCGTAAGGCATGGGTGACAAGACAGCTCTTTAATGAATGGGCTGTTGATGTGTTTTGCCCTTCTGTCAAGAGCTACCTAACCACCAATAAACTCCCCTTAAAGGCTCTTCTCCTCATGGATAATGCTCCTGGTCATGACCCTGACCTTGCCAGAAATTCGGAGTATCAATTTGACTTTGTGAAAGTGTTGATTTTGCCTCCCAACACTACATCAATCATACAGCCAATGGACCAGAATGTGATCAGCAACTTCAAGAGGTTGTACATGAAGAAAATGTTTAGGAGGTGTCATCAGGCAACTTCCAATGATCCTGAACTAACACTGAAACAGTTCTGGAAGACACAATTCAACATCCTGGAGGCTGTAAAATTGATTGTGTCATCATGGCAAGAAGTCTCCACTAGATCCCTCAATTTTTCATGAAAAGCACTGTGGCCATCAGTAGTCCATGATTTTGAGGGATTTGAGGAAGAAACAGAGTTGGACCAGGAGATTGTGTCCATTGGTCAGTCATTGGGCCTTGAAGTGGAAGAGGATGATGTCGAAGAGCTTGTGATGTCTCATGAGGAGGAACTTACTCCTAATGAGTTGAAGCAATTGGATGAGATGTTAGAGGCTAACAGTGATGAGGAGGAAATTGAAAGTGATGACCATATGTCAACTAAAGAGTTGAAAGATGTGATTTACCACTGGGAGAAGTTCAGGGAACTGGCTTCAAAGCACCCAGATGTGGAAAAAAATTAACTAACTTTGTGTCATGTTGAGGATTCAATGGTTCTCCTTCTTTAAACATAAGTTAATGGTGAGGAGAGATGCCCCACAGACCACAATTGACACTTTCTTCAATAAAAGGCAGAGGGAACAAGATGCTATCCCTCAGCCTTCCACTTCAAGAAGGAGAGATGATGTTCATGGTGGAGAAAATGTCAGTCCAGAGGTTCCTGATATTTTCATGGAAGGTGACTCACCTTCCAAGAAGCAGTAAAATGCTTCTCCTCCACCTCCACTCCCTTCTCTTCTCCCTTCTCCTCCTCCACCTCCCACTTCAAATTCACATCAGCATCATCATCCAGGAGCCTTCTACATACACACCTCAAGGTAAATGTCAATTTCTAAAATTTTTGTTGAATTCAGGCAATTTTCAGTGAGCTGGAACCAATTACCCAAAAACCCATTGAAACAATGGTTTCAGTTAACGAGATTTTCGGTTAACGAGCAACCTGCTGGAACGGATTGTGCTCGTTAACCGAGGGACCACTGTATTATTTAAGCATTTTCGATTTATGACCTGGATTTGGGTCCCTAACCCTGTAGTAAGTCGGGGAGGAGCTGTATTGAGAAATATCTCATTTGATGGAGGGGAAGAAATTAATATGGAACTAAGCACACCTACACCTGTGAAAGAAATGCATCTCCCTTAATATCTTGGACCTTTCAGTTTAAGAAGATCACAATTACCGTATATACCCGTATATAGCACGAGTTCTTAAGACCAAATTTTTTGGCAAAAAGTTGGGGGTCGACCTCTATACGGGTAATAGTTTCGTTAGGTTGAAAAATATTTACCAGTAACTACCAGTAAACAATGGAAACGACGCACCAACGCACCACCCGCTGTGAGTGTCGGTACAGTTGCCAGGGCAGATCTCTTGCGTCATCATAGCAAGCCCAAAGTAGCCAAATGCATGGTATGGTAGCACAGGAGTATGTAAAACATAAAGTATACACGTGGGCTAATCGTAATGACATAATATGATGTGAGTCAGATCATCTACACACAGTTGCCAGTTTCAAAATTTTCCTTTTAAAATTTTAAGTTACCGAGTATTTCTTTTCCCAAATCGTTTTACAATACTGTAGGTAAAACAGTATACTATTGTGCAAACCCCACAGAAAAAAAATTAACAAATGGAGACACCAAAAATGTAAAAAAAAAAAATGCTGTCTGACTTGCAACACTGTTGGTAGGGTCAGGTGGTTCTAACGGTACCTGCCAGGACCCGGTAATCAAATTTATAACAATATCTAACCTCAATTACTGTAGTTTATCTGATGTAGGCAATATGAAGTAAAAAATACCAGTTAAAGTGAGAAATTGGAAGAGAATAAACAAGAAAGATGTTGGGCTATTTTTGGTAGGGCTGAGGGAGAGAGTACCAGCTGTTTGGTCTTTTTTGGCGGGAGAGTCACGCAAATATCCGTACTAGTATTTGTTTGGTGTCTTCTGTATTTTTAAAAATGAATACTTGTAAATTAAAAGTACCGTAACATTGTATTATATAAAAACTTGTCATATTTCTGGAAAATAAGAATACCGGTAAACACAATTTCAACGTGCAATAGTTCTGCTAGCGATAATTGTTCTTGTAAAATATCGGTTATAGAAAATCGCGTAATAGAAATAACGGGCTTATGGAGAAAATAGGTTAGGTGCAGATTACCGAAATCGAAAAAATTTAGTAGTTAGCCTAACACAAAGGATAGCACAGTCTAAATAAATGTTACATTCATATCTAATAATGAAATCATACATAGAACACTTTACTTGATGGGGGAGAAGGGTGATTTTGAGGTTGATAAAATTGAGATTCTCTTCAAGTGTTATATCCTTTCTTTTCGATCATCACCAGAATTCTATCACCAAACGCTTCTTGTTGATATTCTTCTTTACACAAAATTGGAGAAATAGTAAGCAAAAATCAAGCAAACAAGCGTATATACAAATATGTTCTAATTCAAATAGCGTAGAGCAATTAGCGTATCAAAACCGCAGCGATAGCAGAAATACTGTATGCTAAAATTAAAAGCTACTTTAGAAGGGCCGATGGAAAAACAAAGCCTCCACGACCAGGGCTCTGCCGTATCAGCTAGACGGTAAACGTGTTTTTTAATCTTTTCAGTTAAATAACTGTTACATCACAAGTGAATTAGGATAGAATATTATTGTAATACAACAGTTTTTTAACTGAAAACCATTCAAAAAGCAATTACGGTAACATCTTTTGAACGAAAGAAAGCGAAAGTCATTGTTTTCGTCACGATTTTATCCCACTTTCCACTGTAATACGTACGTCATTTCAGCAAAAATATTACATTTCCATATTCTCGGAAATAAATACCATAGTAGTTTTGCTGAAATGTGATGTATTTCAATGTAAATTAGGATAAACTACATGACGAAAACAAAAGACTTTACCTAACCTTCCGATGTTCAAGATATGTTACTCGTTTTTTTAATAGTTTTCGGTTAAAATACTGTTATATTAGTGATATTCTATTCATACTGTGGTTGATATAATACCTTCACGGAAATGTAATATTTTTTGCTGAAATGACATACGTATTACAGTGGAAAGTGGGATCAAATCGTGACGAAAACAATGACTCACTTTCTTTCGTTCAAAAGATGTTACCGTAATCACTTTTCGAATGGTTTAGTTAAAAAACTGTTGTATTACAATAATATTCCCTCCTAATTGACTTGAATAAATATTACGATACCATATTTCTGAATATTTTCATTAAAATCCATCAAAATCATTTTCCTTGTCATCGTCTGCAGCACCAAACAGCTTCTCCCAGTCCTCTTCTTGAACAGGGCTAGAGGGTACGTGTTTTTCGAATCGTTTTCAGTTAAAAAATTATTACATCACACGTATATTTTACCTAAACTGCGCCTGAATGAATATATTCTCGGAAATAAATAGTAGTTTTGCTGAAACGTGATGTATTTCAATGTAAAATAGGATAAAATACATGACGAAAACAAAAGACTTTACCTAAGCTTCCGATGTTCTTGAGATGTTATTCGTTTTTTTAATAGTTTTCGGTTAAAATTCTGTTATATTACAATGATATTCTATTCATACTGTGCTTGATATAATACATTCACGGAAATATAATATTTTTGCTGAAATGACGTACGTATTAAAGTGGAAAGTGGGATAAAATTGTGATGAAAACAATGACTTTGGCTTTCTTTCGTTCAAAAGATGTTACCGTAATCACTTTTCGAATGGTTTAGTTAAAAAACTGTTGTATTACAATGATATTCCCTCCTAGTTGACTTGAATAAATACTTGAATGGAAATATACAATATTTTTGTTGAAACTACCCACATTTCAGTGTAAAGTGTCGTAATAATAAATGGTAAACAAGTTTATAGGACGTAGTGTTTCTCTGAAGGTTTTGTTGTTCCTTTACCCTCAAAAACTTGGGTCGACCTATAAACGAGGAATATCATAAATTAACGATTTCTTGGTCAAAAAATCGGGGTCGACCTATATACGAAGGGGGGTTATAGACGAGTATATACGGTATATCAAATTAATACCCTATGGAGGAGTTAAGTTAGAAACATTGATACAATATTCATCAAATACACAGTGATAAATGCAGACTTAGCAAAAAAAACTGACAAATGTAAGAGGGAAATTGGTACCTTAAAATAAAGTAGAGAACAAGTACCTACCCTGCTATTACCCAAGATTATTGACAACACTTCACCCATCATTTGGTCTTCTGTCAGTGGCCGGTCAACCACACGTACACCCGAGAATATTTCATTGTGGTTCACGAGCTAGGGAGAAAAGAATTAAATTAATTCCATCAAATATGGTAATTCTTTCTTCACATAGGTACAGACATAATTAATGTACAAAATCATTAGCTCTGGGAAATTATCTCACCTGCATGAATGCACTTAAAAAGTTTGCAAGTCGAAGTGCCATCCTAGCTTCATTCTCAAACTGCTTCTCCATCCCAAAGCCAATGTCACCCTGGAGTAATAGATCATCTGGAGGAAACATGTGACAGTTCTCTGGGGTGACTGACTTGAGAAACTCTATGACTTCCTCCACGTTTACAGAATTTGCTCTTGTAGCATTAGGTCCTGTCACGTTGTGATAATCTCTGGACAGGTATTTCTGCCGTTCATATTCACCCATCTTGTTGTAGTCAAATGGCAGCTTTTGGATCCCTGTAAATACAAAATTATAAATATATTCAAAATGAAAAAAGCCATTACCTTTTATTTGTTGACATGTACAAGGGGCCCCCCAAGTTCACAGATTTTTACTTCACGGTTCTCGATCATTTGCGGATGACACCCCGGATGTACCCAAGAATGTCTGTTGGTAGTTTTAAAGTTGCCGGCATTTTCACGGCTGAGACAGGGAGCCATTCGTTCTGGAGACAGAAATTTCCTTTACCTGTTTTGTAAATATGTGTGTGTGTGTGTGTGTGTGTGTAGACACACACAAAATGCATACAAATAAATAATAATTGGAAAATCCTCTCACAAATAATCAGAAACAAATTTATTAAAAATGTGACAGTTTACCCTCAAGTCCATTCTCTATTACAGTACAGTACTTTATTAATAGAGCACGGACTTGAGGATAGACTCACATTTTTAATAAATTTGTTTTTGATTATTTGTGAGAGGATTTTCCAATTATTATTTATCAGTATGTGTTTTATGTGGGTGTGTTTACACACAAACACACACACACACACATATATACAATACTACAGGTTAAAGAAATAATTGTCCTAAGGCCAAACACATAAAGGGAATATACAATTCTTTGTACACAAGTAAAAATGTACCATCCACTCCATCTGGTCCGCAAATGTTATACAGTTGTACCCCACTTAACGCGGTCAATAGAACCCAGAGGGTCCCGTGTTAAGTGAAATCCGACCCCCAAACTCCACTTTTTGAAGGCACATACCTATGTTGTAGTAAAAATAACATCTTAATTTTATGATGGTACATGCACACAATTAATACTTAAGAGAAATAGAGAAATACAGTCGCCAAGTTAATGTCCATTCAAATAATGGACTCAACTCCCTCCCCCTCTCACACTACACTGCCGGCTCTTCCCTCTCAGAGAAATTTTTGGGGGAAAACCACTAAATTTTAATAAATAATACCTCAAACTAAAGTTAGGATAATACAATTGACATTGCTGGATTCCTTGTAAGACCAGGAATATTTTGAATATAAATGTCATATATTTTGCACAAAAGATAACATAGTTACCTAGAGAAAAATTTTTATCTAAAATTTGTATGTTTAATGCAAAATATATGATGTTTATATTCAAAATGATCACCAAATTATAAGAATTCCAGCAATGTAAATTATATTCTGACCGGGTAATTTGTATGAATTTTATGAGCTAAAACAAATATCTTCAGTTAATAAAAAAAAAATAATCTTCAGGACACTATCTGTCAATCAAAGTACCCCACCTTGCCCTCCCCCCTCTTCCAACCGCGCGGTCAGTCCCAACCCTCCCCCCCACCCCCCACCAATCCTCCCTTCCAGAGTTTTTAACATTTAGTATTAAATAATACCTCAGATTAAAGTTAGGATAATATAATTGACATTGCTGGATTCCTTGTAAGACCAGGAATATTTTGAATATAAATGTCATATATTTTGCACAAAAGATAACAGTTAATTTGAGAAAAATTTTTATCTAAAATTTGTATGTCTAATGCAAAATATATGATGTTTATATTCAAAATGATCATCAAATTATAAGAATTCCAGCAATGTAAATTATATTCAGACCGGGTAATTTGTATGAATTTTATGAGCTAAAACAAATATCTTCAGTTAATAAAAAAAAAAAAAATATTTTTCACGGGGTAACAGATGGTCGGTCGGTCCCTCCCTCCCCCCCACCCCCCACCAACCGTCCCAAGGAGATGTGTGGGAAAACCAGAATACTTAACTTGTTTGTAATAAATAATACCTCAAACTAAAGTTAGGATAATATAATTGACATTGCTGGATTCCTTGTAAGACCAGGAATATATTTAATATAAATGTCATATATTTTGCACAAAAGATAACATAGTTACTCTGAGAATAATTTTTATCTAAAATTTGTATGTCTAATGCAAAATATATGATGTTTATATTCAAAATGATCACCAAATTATAAGAATTCCAGCAATGTAAATTATATTCTGGCCGGGTAATTTGTATGAATTTTATGAGCTAAAACAGGCAGGGTGGCGGGTGGGGCAAATCTAAAAATAGCGTCTCGAGCCGGACACTCACGCGTATATGTGGAAAAAATCCGTGTTAAGTGAAAGTTCAGCTCTGGCGAGGCACCGCGTATATGATAAAACGCGTTAAGTGAAACCGCGTTAGGCGGGGTAATACTGTATAAGATTTGGCGTTGCACCATTTTGAGAACCTACCCATAAATTTGCCCCCCCCCCCCCGTATGTAAATTAAATAATAATTTACAATGATATTCTACACAGTGCAGTAATGATATTTTAATCTATGGCAAATACAGAACTACAGTATAAACCACTATTCATAGATTTTTGTGGCAACTAAATGCAATTCAATCACATAATTCGCATCAACCAAAAATTCTGTGAGGCAATAAGGCTTTGGGAGTGACGTCCTTAAAACTGGACTGTCTTCCTTCATACTACCTGGTCCTTCCCTGGCACTGCTTCAAATACAGGAATGCTTCGATTTATGTTGCATGAATTTGCGAAAATTCGATTATATACGATTTTTTCCAGCAATATATAGGGGGTCCTCGACTTATGAACTTCCGACTTACGAACGCCCACCGATACGAACGGGGTTAAACTTGAAATTTACAGTACAGTATTTTATTTACCTGATGACTTATTTTTTTATTTTCACTTACTGTATTTTGTCATTCTATTTCTTTTCTCTTAAATTAAGTGATTTTATATGTATTTGAGGACTTAGGCTATGATACAGTGGGATTTTAAACATTGTTCTGTAAGTACGGGATGCACATAGCATGTGTTCCGACTTCACACAAATCTGACTTAACAACACCCTCAGGAACGGAATCCGTTCGTAACCCAGGGATTCCTTATACGGAAAAAACCCCGCTTTTACCAAAAAAATTTACAGTATTTTTTTGTAGCATCAGAAGATACTGAGTAGCTGACACAGGCATCTGAGAGTATTCCATGCTGAAGATGCACAGTGGGCAGTGTACAGTAGTGCAGGCTAATGTGTGGCAACATTTCTGTACTTATATATAAATGGAAATTAAAAACTGTGTTTTAATTGCATGTTTACATTCCTGGTGGCATGATGCTAAGTTAGACTTGTTACTTTGGCCATCTCTCCCTAACCTTCACCTTACCAGACTGAGGTATGAGTATGTTATGGTTATTTTTCAACTCAAAATTTCTTGGTGATCCCCCACAATGCCAGGTTGCAGAGTTGGGCAGACAAGGCAAAAGGGGAGCCCGGTTCTGGACTGAATGGCCACAGCATATGCTGTGACGACGTGTGCGCCATGAGAAACCCCAAAGCACGAGACGATGAGTTCTCTGTCTGCCTCTTCACGGGGGCAGAGTGAGTATGTTTCTTCACTTTTTTTCTTTTTTTAACGTTTCATGCACACACAAATTTTCATGCAGAATGCACAAAAAATAAAAAATTAAAATAATTATCATAAGGTCAAGAACAAAGGGAATAAACATCCCTTCATGTGCAGGAGTTAGCACACAGATCGGGGGAGGAGGGAGTGACGGGGGTGATCTCAGCTGTTTATTGTCTTCTGTGTCCCCTGTGTTGTGAAAATATTGCCAAATGTCAATGCAGTATATTTTTTTTTATTAGTATAACATGTATTTTCTTTTAATTGTCACATTTACTGCTCAATGGGTGTAATACAGTAAAAAACACAAAAGTATTTATCCTATCCTCGCCACAAGCGTCACTATGAAAACCATGCTGAACCTCAACTGTTTATTGCGTGTGTTTGCGGCATCAGGTCAGAAGCCCACCAAGCTCCTTGTGCATTTATGGAGTTATTTTTTATCAAATGTTAGACATTTTTATATTACAGTATTTATTAATTATATACTTGTATAGTATATGTCATATTGAGGTGCTATTGCACAGCTTCTCCCCGACTTACGACCACCCGCACTTACGGCCTGCCTCAGTCGTACCAAAATTTTGTCAAATTAAACATTTTCGAGTCCCAACATCAGTACACAGAGAAAATTTTCGTTTGTAATTCACTTTAAAATGGCTGGCAAGCTTAAAAGTGAGAGTTTTGTGGTGCTGAGAAGAAAAAGAGACACCCATTTTAGATTTTTTATGTATTATTTAAGCATTTTCGACTTACGACCTGGATTTGGATCCCTAGCCCCGTCGTAATTCGGGGAGGAGCTGTATACCGCATTGATCTAAAATTATGGCTGACGGACCACCTAATATGAGGCAAAAATTTATAACTTGTCTCCCTAAGCACCGACAACCTAGTTTCACTGTAGGCAGAATACTGTAAACAGTATTCTTATATGGATTAAATAAACTTGATACTGTACTGTAATGATTTAGCTACTGTATCAATGTTATTATGATTAATGCATAAGCTTTGAAAGTATTGTTGGCCCCCACCAAAAAATAAAAATAAAATAAAATAAATTAAAAAAATAAACAAATATTCATAAAAATGGGTATTTTTACATTTGGGGGACTTTTTTTCATAGAAACACATCTTGCTTCACATATGGTAGTCAATGGGAAAATTGACTTCGAATTACAAAAGAGTTTTCAGGAACATACCCCTTTCGTAAATTGAGGCACCTGTACCCATTACCCTAATGTCTGCATTAATTTTTTTCTGAAACTTATAACACCTTTACTCAACTAACAGAGGGCCACAAGAAATAGGGACAAAAAGAAAGATATACTCTGGGGCATTATTGCCTTAAGGGTAATAAAATTAGTTTATCCACCTCTATCTGAATGCATATTACAGTAGAGTTAGGAAAGGTGATCCTAGTGCGAGGATAACCTGTAAGCCAGAGACGGAGGCTACTCACTATTACCTGCACCAGCCTCCAGTTATAAAGGCAATCGTGGGAGCAGAGGAAAGCTAATGTCTAAAACAGATCCCAATAACTTCAAAGAATATAAATTTTTTCATTGCCTAAATCCTAAGTAAAGATGCCATGTACAATAATTTTAGGACTTAAGCCTTACAGTCACTGATAAACAAAACTGCCATCTTTAGAAAGACAGAATGGCAGCAGAATCCACTCCAATATACAGTATATAACAAATTATCAGCAATTGTACTATAGGGGGCAGTGAAATTTTGCTCAAAGCTGCACTCTTCAGGCATTGTTCCTTATACATATCTAAGACTCCATGCCAAATTTGAAGCCGATATGTCGAGGTTTAGTCTGCCGCATTTTCTACTGAAATTTTTAAATTTACCTACAGTACTAGCCAAACAGCCGCTGTGGCGGTGCAATGTTCTGTTCAGTGTTTATCAACTTTTTTTTCATATCTCTTATTTCATTTAAGTTGTCTTGTTGCAGATGAGTATGGTGCTATGTCTATATTGATTATCAGCCTTTTCTCATTTCATTTCTCAATGTTGTGTTACTGTACTGTAATGTAGGGAAGACCGCCACTCGTGTGATGATAAAGAATGAGAAGACCGAGAAATGGAGTTCGAGGATGATGGTGAAAGATCATTATGTCATCATGGTTGAGCCTGGCAATGAATATCTCACACATGTGACTCCCAAGACTGGACACGGAAAGCAGATTGCCAAAACTATTCACGAGTTTCTGGTGGAGAAAAATCTAACCCAGCAGCCCATTGTGTGTGTTGGTTGTGATGGAACCAATGTAAATGTAGGATCAGAAAATGGAGTCATTCATCATCTTGAAATGTTACTTGGTCACCCGCTCCATTATTTCATATGTCAGCTTCACGGAAATGAGCTGCCTTTCCGCGCAGTTTTTTATCACTATGATGGTAAACCAAGTGGTTCTGAGCATTGGCGTGGTCCCATTGGAAAGCAGATCAAGGAGTCTTTGTCTGAGCTTCCAGTTGTCGCCTTCCAGCCAGTCAGTTTCCCTGATTTCCCTGTGTTTAATGATGAAGTGGAGAAAGATCTGTCCTGGGATCAGAAATACCTGTATAGGATTTGTAAAGGAGTTATCACAGGTGTTGTTGAAGATGACTTGGCTGCTATTGAGCCAGGTCCTCCCTGTGTGTCAAGGTGGAACACCTTATGGAGTAGAATCCTCAGGCTGTATGTAGCAACATCAAGACCCAGCCATGAGTTGAAAAGAATTGTCATTACAATAATGAAGTTCAGTGCTCCAATGTGGTTTTACATCAAGATACACCCTTACGTAACACACGGCTCAAGGAACGTATTCCAGTCCCTGCTATATATGAAACACCTGAATAGTGAGGAGGAGACGATAGTGAAGAAGGCTGTCCAGAGAAATGCATACTTCGCCCACACAGATCAACTTCTTCTTGGTATGTGTGCAGATGAGGACATGACTGTTAGAGAAAAAGCTGTCTCAATGATAAGAAAAATTAGAGAGGAGAATCAGCAAAAGGAAGAATGCACTGGCAGATCTGAAGAGGAGGAGGAAGATTCTGATGCTGCTGTTGACGAGAATTTGTTAAACTATACTGATGAGGAGGGTAAAGATGGAGATGGGAATGAGGATGTGCCTCCTGTAGTCAACATGAGAAAGGTGGTGACTCCGAAACTAAAGTGGCAAGCAAAAAACTATCATTCCATGATTAACTGGAGGAATGAACTCAAGACTGAGCCTCCTTACATTGCTTCTCTGTCAAATCTACAGGTTAATGACATTCTTGAGACACCATTAGTGGTGCCCAAGTGGCCAAACAGCACTCAGGCGGTCGAGAGAGGCATAAAAGTGATGACTGAAGCTTGCACTGAAGTGACGGGATACGAATCGAGAGATGGATATATCAGGCAAAGATTATTGTCTAGGAAAATGATGCCAAGGTTCCGCACAAAAAAGAATTTCAATATGAACTTGTAATGATTTTCCATACGGTGTACCTGTAAAATAACATGTGAATTAAATCGATGTCACCCATGTAAAATTTATCATTATCCTGGAAAACATTAAATGACACCTAATTTTTGGTATACACTAAAAGTTGACAAAAAGTCGTTCGCGATGCGGCAGGGTAAGTATGCATGAAATGGCATGAAATTTTGTACAGGTGTTTGTTACAGCCATACAAACGATGCCTGAAAAGTGCAGCCTGCAACTCAAATAAAAGTGTTTTTCCCTGCCCCCTATTGTACTACATCGGACAATACTGTACTGTATTTTGAAACAAAGCTATTGGTTTAAAAAATATATATATACAGTGACCCCTCCGTTAACGAACTCAATCCGTTCCAGGAGGTCGTTCGTTAACCGAAAAGTTCGTTAACCGAAACCATTGTTTCAATGGGTTTTGGGTAATTGGTTCCAGCTCACCGAAAATTTCCTAAATTCTACAAAAATGGTCGAAAAGTTCACTTACTTTGAGGTGTGTATGTAGAAGGCTCCTGGATGATGATGATGATGATGGGATTTAGAATGGGGGTGGAGGAGAAAGAAGAAGAGAAGGCATTGGGGTGGAAGAGAAGTTACCCCATGGCGCCATTTCGCCCATAAAATTTTAGCTCTCTTGGTGTAATTCAAGATTATTTTCTTTAAATCAACACTGCACTGCATTATATATTGTCAATATGTAAAATATATTTCAAAATGACCAATAATTTCCTTGGAAACACAGAAAAAAAGCGTTTAGTTGAAGAGAGTCTCAAGCAAGATGTTACCTCCAGTGAAAACAGGGAGAGACTAACGCCTGTTTGCTGTGTTAAGAGGCTGGATGCCGCGCATTAAACTAGTCACTTTACCTTCAATTATGTTCAATAATTGTTAAAATGACTAAAAATTGAATATTAAACTTTTAAAATTATTGAATAGTATAAACTTCTTGATATTTACTAAAATAGTAAGGAATTTAAGCCCTAGAACCGATTAATGTATTGGCGGACTGATACTAAAGCTGGTTGCCCGGTCAGTGCAAGCGAAAACATGTTGAGGTCGGTTCGTAAGAACTTCGTTAACCAAATTTTTTTTCGTTAACCGAATTGAAGATCCTTATGGAAGGCAGTTCGTTAATCGAGATTACGTTAACCGAGGTGTTCGTTAAACGAGGGGTCACTGTATATCTTGCACAGGACATATTCGACGGTTGGCTCTATCCTGAAGCAGTCTATCAAAGTTCAGAGCTACACATGACTTATCCTTAAGTCTCAGGTTAAACATATAATTAATTTATTACTGCCATAAAAAAAAATCCTTAATGACATTGTAAGATAAACTACAGTACCGGTATTAAAAGGACAAAAACATTCACATAAAAAGAAAACAAACAAATCATTTGCAGGGAAATACAGTATAGTCTGCATTTACGCGAATTTGGTTTACGCGTTTGGTCATTTACGCGGCACCTTGCCAGAGTTTAAATTTTAAGTTAAGCGGTTCATTCCATCATTTACGCGGGAAGCGACGCCTGGAGGGTGCGCATTAGGTCGCTCTTATGTTATCGCTGATGTCATATGACGAATCGGACTGTGATTGGGCCAGCATCCTTACTTCCCTCAGCCGCTAGCTGTGATTGGTCTAATGCAATATGACGTGCCCTGCCACCAGAGGGAAGAAGTCGCTGACCTAGCCAGGCCAGTCTCATTGTTCTCAGTTCTCCGCGTATACTATTCTCTCTTGTGCCCGCTACTCCCCTCACAATGGCTTCCGCTGGACCCCCACCACCCCCGAGAAACCTTGAACTACCTGGACCAAGCCATGGTTATGTGAAGGAAGTCATCGAGTCGAGGGAGAAAATCAAGCTCATCCTTGACAAAGACACAGTCAAGCATCGGCATGAAGTGTCTAATAACCTTCTGTCGAAAATTATGGAGACGTATGTCCAGATGTATCACGACAACATCAATGCTAGTCTTGACCGCAACCCACCACAACCACAGCCAGCCCAAGTCAGTGATAGTGACAGTGAGGATATGGACTTTGAGGGGTTTGTCAGGGAGGTCCTGCTAACCTCTGTGAATAGTGATATTGATTCACCGGAGGGCCACTAATCTGCCCTCTGCCTCGAAACCAGCCGCCATCCACGTGTGCCGACCCATCTCTTCTACTCACGTAAGTGTTAAACACCGTTAGATTTGTAGTTTTTTATTTAGATATTTTGTGTGTGTCAATACCATCATAAAATTATGATGTTATTTTTACTACAAGGTACGTATTGCGTCGGAAAAAGTGGAGTTTGGGAGTTTGCCCAGTCTCTATTTCAATTAATCCCATATGTTCTGTTATTTCGTTTACGCGTTTCTCGTTTTACGCAGACCTCCACGGGTTCAATTGACCGCGTAAATGCAGACTATACTGTACAGTAATGTGAATGATCTGATTGATAAGCAGGATTCACTTGGACAAATGGTTATATAGCAGCAAAGGAAACAGCGTCAGAGAGACAACTATTCCTATGAAAGATTTCTTTGATAAAGTACTCCATAGGCTTAATGGATACAATACAAGTTTCTCCTTGGAACCAAAGTCAGGTTATAGAGGTAATGATTAACTTTCAAAAAGGTATGTCAGTTCTAAAGATTTTAATATCAAAGCAAAGTTACTGTACTTACAACCAATGGGTGTACAGCTGAAGGCGTTGCGATATTGATAAAGTGTTGCCCTTTCGACAAGTTCTCCAAGGAAGGGGCGTCGCACAACATTGGGTAAACGAAATCCTGGTTTACATCGACACTGGTAACCACCACGACGAAAACCATAACCATCCAACGGCTCACACTGAAAATTTATGAAAAGATGTAGAATTATGTGTGATAAAATATCATTACTTTTAATTGTGACACAGGGTCTACTGCCCATTATATATCTCCATCTCTATTGGTACATACAGTAAGTATAAAGCACAAAAAATGTATAAAAAGAAACTTATTGCAAGTAAGTACTTATTCATATCTACTCAAAATTAAAGTCCATTACCTCTGTGGTATCTTTTTTGCATTTGCTAGTGTCTGCAAACCTATTGGGCCCATCATTGCCTTCTCCTCTTGGACACTGATTAATATCTATTCGTTCAAAGTCCATCTCCATGACAGATATGGCAGTTAGTGTTGGATATTCAATGTGTCGAAACTGGGTATGGCGTGGATACAAGTCCGCTGCAAAATTTTAGGAGAAAGTGAGATGCTGTATTTAGAATGAAAGTTATTTCACTTTCAATTTTCTAATCATACAAATATGAAAAACCTTACAATTCCATGCATTCCATGGCAAAAATAAATAAATATGTATACAAGTTTCTTGTTAATCCAGAAGATGCTATTGCACCGAGTGATGAAAAGCAATGAATATCAGGGAAAGGTGAGCTTCTTGAGATTATACTACCCTGTACATGCACAATCCAACCTACTCTCTACCTAAGATGCATATCTCAATAGACAGTAGGTAAACAATACACAGTATTCAACACCATCTTAAACAATAAGTCTGGAATAATAATGTCTCCATGGATATTCTGAGGAGTTAAGAATGAAGTTCTCAAATTTTAATAAAATATGGCACACTGACAAAATACTATTCATATTAAGTCAAAACATGGGCTTTTGCAAAAGTATGGGCACATTCAAAGAACCCCCTCCCCCAAATAAAAAATAAATAATTGTATTTTGCATACAAATAACTTTGTTTACTTATTCAAAGGTCTTGTTCTTTCAATAAAGTTTAAAGGAAATAAATAATCCTTAACTGATAAAACACAACCCACTCCCTCAAGCAGCTGCACAAATAATAAAATACCATTATAACTGACTGTTAAGTGATAAAAACACACAATGATCACTTACCTATTGGGGTGATGGCTGGCACAGACCACTTGTTTGAGCGCCCACAGTCATAGTAAGGACGGGTGAATTTGACAGGTCCTGGATCCTCGTCTGGAGCATTGGGGCCGTGGAATACGTAAGTTTCATTTGTATTGTTGGCGTAACGAATTTTAACCTGTACAACAATGTAAACCCATCAACATACATTCCATTTGGGGAACCAATTTATGGTTGTCTTTTTACAATTTAAATCGAACAAGGTAAATCAATTTCACCAACCCACTGACAACTTGTTGGTAAAATACTTGAGTACTATACAGGACAACACACTGAATTATCACAATGTTTTATCTTTGGCTTTCAGCAGTGACCCTGACCATAGACAAAGAAACTTGAATCTGGTGTTCTGCACTTCAAATTCTGATGATGAATGTTTCTGTGAAATGTCACATAAGATCTTTATTGTTTCAGGATTTATACTGCAGAGAAAAAGACCCATCCCACAACATATCAGCTTCCCTCCCCCAACATGATTGGGTCAAGTGGTGTCATTTATGCAGTCTTAGTCAAATTTATAGTATCAGCTCTGTCAACAAGGAACAATGGCACTCATGAATGCAAACAAATTAATTCCAAAACGACCATCAATGGACTACATTATCTCAATAAATTTTAGTGTATGATGCTACTCTGTAAACACTAAAAAACATTAATGGCAATGACTGTATGGCTACTAGAAAAAAAACATCAGGCAACCAAGAGTAAAACTATGAGGCATAAACAGTGGGCATTTACTGACATATTGCTAAGTTTTTACAAGTTCATTCCAAATGCTACAGGCAGCTTTTGGTTTAATTTTTAGGTTTGCATATCTACCAAATGATCAACAAAAATAAAATAAAATACGAGGTAAAAGGCTATACCTGGTATGTAGTGAGTTCATCTTGTCGCTTGTTAGTGTGGGGCAGCCAAGAGTAGTACCATTCATTGATACGATACTCCTCCAGGGTGTAGTTGTGTGAATTTTGACCTGTGGGCAAGATTGCTCCAAGGTCTTCTACTTGAAAGAAATTCAATGTCGAGATTCTTTCCAGATGTACAGGATCATTGTAATCATCCATCCTGAAGAATAAATTATCACATTTTAGCATTAGCAGCTCTAATATGAACTACAAAACTGTGACAGGGTTCATACTCTTCAATGCAAAATAAAATAAGAAATTTTCCAGGACCTCTCCAGGTATATAGTTTTGATTGAGTCAGGAAAATAGATCCTTCTTAGGTGCAGTTTAATTAATACCATATTTTACATAAAATTTAATTTAAACATATTAATGCAAAAACATATAAAATGTAAAGCCAAAAGAGTAAAATAAAGAACAAATCACACAAGAAAATAAAACAATGAAATACAAGGCAGTTTGGAATCCTCATCATGGCTTGTAAGTATTAACATCATGCATCTCCTTCATATTCATACATACGTACAACTAAATATGCCACAGTTGTTGTAGTATAGTTATGTCCATAAGTATGTGTAACTGTGATGATTAAGCCGAATAGAATTTTCAAAATGTCGAAACTATCCGCTCTTTCGGGCTCTGCAGTGTTTAATGAAATGAAATCTTACACACTGGAGACACTGCATACATACTGTATATATCTTTATCTTTGTCAGCTGTACAGGAATAATTACATCTATAATCCTTACTATGCATTAACAGTCTGGACAATGTTTATGTACAGTAATCCACATACTTGTACTCTTAATCACTCTTTTCACCTCTAAAAATACTTACCTGAATGCTCTTGGAGCAAACAGAGGCAATGATTTGTTAAAGAATCCTTTGTAAGAGGATGTAAATGCCATATTTGGTTGAAAATAAGTTGCACTTGAATTGATCTTTGGATTTGCTGCCACATCTGCCATTGCCGAAATAAAATAGTACATAAAACCAGGATCATACTCTGAAGCACTGTCTGAGACGTTCACTGCAAGACAAGAAAGCATATGTTAGATGTCATGGCAACTAAACTTTAAAGGTACTGTAACTCTGTTCTGAAACAATTTATGGTAGCTGAAAAAGTTTTCATTTTATTACCCATCAATAAACTACCTTATCAAAGCTTATCAAATGCAATAATAAATGAGAATGAGATGCTGTACTGCACCAGACTACTGTAGTAGGGTGTGTCATAGGGGGGAAGATCAGCTAAAACTAATGGCCCATCACTTTTTTGGTAGATTTTAGTGTATATAAACAGAAAATAATTTCAGTTTCAATATTTTGCAACCTTTTGCTAGGTAAATTTTAGCGTGAAATTTATCGAAAATCTAACGTACAGCTGCATTAGTGCATTACAATTAAATAGTGAACATTGCTTTTCTGACTTCATTCTTTTAACAACCCAACTAACAATAGCTTTTTTTTCAGATTCTGATGCATTTACAAGTTGATAATATTTATGTATGGCTAAGCCGCAGTTGTGACGAGGAACCAAAACGAGCTTAACTTCAGTCACTATCTTGGGTCTGGGGAGAGAGGCCTTGAAGTCGGAGTTGCCTACATTGAGAGATGCTTTGAGATAATGTGTTTTTAATCAGGCAACCAGTGAAAAGAACCAAAGAACTTACACAAACAAAGACATTGCCAGTGATATGACCAAAGCTGTCTTGGCACAGTACACTCTACAACGCTCAGTTCAAGCCTCCAGTCATAACAAGTCAGAAGAAGATTAGTGAGAGATCATAGCTAGTTGGGAAAAGGCAAGAGGATATCTTCAGAGAGGAAAACTGCAAAGGAGGACAGCTTGCTGCTAACTGGACCAGTTATTTGACATAATTACTTGCAAGTGCCCAATTGTTCTCTGTCCTGAGTTTGGATGCGATCGTGACTGTAAATCCGAGGCCCACATCTCCTGTATTTGCAAGCGTGAACTGAAGATTCCTGTGATCGAACTGGCATTTGTCAAAGCAGAGAGAGAGAAGACTGGCAGTATAGGGGCTCTCATGATTTCTAGCCAAGATATTTCGGAGTCCAAGAGACAGGAGGCTGCCACAGAGAGACAGAAGAGGAGAAGAATTGCCGAGGAAAAGAGACTTGAGAAGGCCCAGGGTGAGGTAAAAAAGGCCGATGATTGGAGTCAAGCTGATTCAGAGTTTAATGACTTCCCCATGGCTGATCCGAGTGCTGACCAGGAGAATGGTGAATTTGTCCCTAACCCAGAAAATAATGATCCCAAACCTTCCAGGTATAAGATTCGAAATAGGAAAGATATCCCGAGCATAGCTCTGGCCAGCATGCGACACCACACTGGTCTCAGAGAAACTGCAGAGATAGCAACAGCTGCCTGGATTGACGGTGGTTTGATAACACCTGATGATGTTCACCTGGTGATAGATCATAACAAAGTAAGGAAAGCTCAGGAGAAACTTGTCAGTAACCTAGAAGAGGAGTTTGATAAGGGGATAAGAGAAAATGGAATCAATTGTTTGTTCTTTGATGGGAGAAGGAATGACACTAAAGTGTTCATGAAAGTTGGAGATTCTGACAAGTTGTTCCCTACCCACACGGTGGCAGAGGAGAACACTACTCCTGCTGCAGTGAACCAGGAGAGAAATATTTGTGGCATTTCCTCCAGAGAAAAGATGACATCAAGGAAGCCAACAGCTGAGATAGTGGCAGATAACATTGAACTGAAGCAGAGAGGAAACGTAGACCAGACCCTGCAGGCCATTGGAGGGACAGCACCAACGAACACACAGAATTGGCAAGAGGTCCTTAGTGGTCG